CACACACACACACACACACACACACACACACACACACACATACACACACACACACACACACACACACACACACACACACACACACACACACTTGCAAACGTGAGGGAAGCTGAAGGGAAGAAATGTGAGCGAAGCTGAAGGGAAGTGAAGGGTCGCTTGTGATCATTTTGATCCCGATGGAGGAAAAAAAAACAAAAACGATGGAACCTGAAGCGTCCGCTTGTGAGCCAGGTCTCGTAGTAGCATTTTGAGTCTTTTGACGCTGGACCCTGGAGGAGGAATGTGAAGGGTGAGAGTTCTACTCGACGGTTAGGTGGGTGCATATGTGAAACCGAAAAGAACCAAAAAAGACAAGAACGAAAAAAAAGGAAAAGAAAGAAGGACAAGAACGAGAAAGGACAAGAAAGAAGGACACGAACGAAAAAGGAAAAGAAAGAAAGGACACCATGTGGCCACCAGCTAAGGGACAGGAGGGGCAGTGTATTGTATTGGTGGCGCTCGTATTCTGGCTACCTTGTTCGTCTCTGACTTTCTAAGTCTTTGACACGACGGAAGGGTTGTGTCGTGACTCGTTTGTATTCAAGGAGACGTTGATTTATGTTGATTTCAACTGTTGGTCGTGTGCTGCAATGGTTTGCTGTTCAATCTTTCTTGTCGGATATGTGTGCGCACTGGGGGGGGGGGGGGGGGGGGGGGGGGGGGGTTGCGGCCCGCAAAACTGGATATCTGTCTGCAGGTTGGCCGCCGCTTCCGGCATCTGATCAGCCTTGGTTTCCGTCTACTGCACCCCTATTATTGGCCCAGTTCATTTTGGCACTTCCTTGTGACGAAGGTCAATCATGTATGTGATGGCGTCAACGAGTGGATACGATGGGTGTGCAGAGACCTCTTTGGGTGGACGTACCATGAGCTGCGAGACGTACATAGAGAATAGCGCTGGTGGCTGGAGTGAAAGTGGATCCCCCCTTGGTGTGCGAAGATCCCTGTAATTGGAATGACAATCACGACAGTGAAGTGGGCAAGGCACAGGTAAAACTCTCCCTCCATGAAAGTGTGTGTGACAGCCGTCACGACACCATATCGAAGTGCGTGTGACAGCCGACACTTTGGTGACGACCAAAATCCGCGTTACGAAGTGCTCAGTGTCTCAAGGCTTTGCACAGCGAACACACATCGAAGCGCAAGCAGGAGGAATCCACGAAGACTCGCACCGTATCCAAGTGCCGGGGATCAGCCCGTCACTTTGGTGGTGATGTCTCAAGGCCTTGCACAGAGAACAAACATGGAAGCACAAGCAGGTAAAGTTTTCTGTTGACGATGCGATGAAAAACGATCGTGACCAGAAAGAAAATCCGGCAGCGTACACACACCCGTCCTGCTCCCTCCCCCGGTGGCAGCACCTTTTTTGTAACAGCTGTTGCTTGAGTGGGGTGAAGAAACGCAGCTGCTGTATTTCGAAAAGCGCCGTAGCCACAAACTGATACCGTCTGCCTTTGCGACTTCACAATGTATATCTAAAGCTAAGCTGGGTTCTCCAGGAATTCCAAAATTTGGTCGCCTAACCGGGCTCTCGTAATAGCTGTTGTTGCTTCAGCGGCGATAACGATAACTTGCAGCTGAGTCAGATGCCGCTTAGGACTTCGTTCGCTGTCTACACAGTATACCTAAAGCTGAACTCTGTCTGATAAGGGACTTGAAGATGATGCAGTTATTGTGCAAGTTAAGAACATGTAGATGGGGTGGAGAACTTGCCCGTGGCATGAGAATACTGACCTGTTCCAGATGTGTGTGTGTGGGTGGGGAGGGGAGGGGGGAGAGAGGGAAGAGAGAGGGAGGGGAGAGGGGAGGGAAGGTGGAGAGGGGTGCGCACGTGGAGCTTTCGACACGTGCAGTGTACATTGATCTTCTGTAGTATATATATATATATATAAACTTGGTTAGAATCTTGGAAACTGTAGTTGGACTCGGAATTGCAGGCAGCTGGTGGTCCAGAGTCCAGACGATCGATCGTGCAGGGTGCAGGGTGGTATGTGTGCGCAATGCACGTCCTGAAAAGGAATAACACCAGTGCAATCTGCGCTTCGACTCTCGGATGTCTTCTGCTTCACATCCGGATTCCTTTCTTTGTTGGTGTCGTGTCTACGTACGTCGTACGGGTTTATTTTTGGGGTACGTTTCTGGGCTTTCCCCCCCCTTCAAATGATCTAGTAGACGTTCGATCGTGCAGGGTGGTATGGTATGTGTGCGCAATGCACGTCCTGAAAAGGAATAACACCATTGCAATCTGCGCTTCGTCTCTCGGATCTCTTCTGCTTCACATCCGAATTCCTTTCTTCGTTGACGTCTTGTCTACGTGCGTTGTATGGGTTTATTTTTGGGGTACGTTTCTGGGCTTTTTTTCTTCTTCGAATGGTCTAATAGACGTTCGATCGTGCAGGGTGGTATGGTATGCGTGCACAATGCACGGCCTGAGAAGGAATACCGCCATTGCAATCTGCGCTTCGTCTCTCGGATGTCTTCTGTTTCACATCCGAATTCCTTTCTTCGTTGGTGTCGTGTCTACGTACGTCATACGGGTTTATTTTTGGGGTACGTTTGTGGTCAGTTTTTTTAACTTTTTTTTTCTTCAAATGATGTTTTTCACTGGAGCCGAAAGTGTTGCATGCAAATCTCTGAAGCGCCGCCGACGAAGAGGATTATTTCTGAGGAGGGTGAACTGTAAAGATTCTGAAGTTGCACGCATCCGTGCTCCTACCACTGTCGCAGCTTTTGGGTGCGAGTGGGGTTTGTTGCGCACGGTGGTGCCATTTCTTTTTCTTTCTTTTTTTTTGGCCTTTCTTTATTTTGCCGTCAAGAGGATAAGAAGCCTGCCAACTCTTTTTTCTTCCAATGAAGAAGTTTGATATTCTGAGGGTTGCCAAGCCAAGTGTACCATCTTCACCCCCGAGTGGAACGTCCAGTCATTATGGTTGTATTCGGGACAACGCCCGGCTTTCAGTCCAGATGCAGCTGCAGCGATAATGACCGAGTGTTCTATTTCTATTCAGGGGTGAAGGCGGTAGCAGGGAGTGTAAACACAACTGGAAGTAGCCTATGCGTCGACGAACGAACTCGTTGTCTACCGTGCTTCTGCCTTGTTGGAGGGGGAGTCCATCCACCGCGTGTGGCTGCAGTGAAGCTGTAGCAGGAACAGGACGTCTCTTCATGCGGAAATGTTTTGTGAGCGGTTGGTGGTTGTGTGACTCGCGTTGTCGGTATTGGGTGTCGCCGCACGGGACACGAAACGGAAAACGAAACGAGCGAATCTTCCCGCAGAAAATGGCCAGGTTCATCGGTTTGCTATAAATAGTAACGAGTGTATTTTGCCACCTTTCGTGGGCAGATGCACTCGTTTCGTTTTCGTTTCGTGTGCCGTGCGGCAAGACCCATTATCCAGTAAATGACAGTCGCCGTTGGGACTCGGGAGGAGAGATGGGGTGGGTGAGAGAAGTTGGTGGTGATGGGATGAGATTGTGCAAAGGGAGGGGGGGGGGGGGGGGGGGGGTTGATTCCGATCGATAACAATGTGTCACCACAACAAATGTCGATATTGAAGGGCTAATCCTAGTCAGAGCCTTTGACAACAGCAACAAATTTGTCGTTTGTCGGCAGCAGCGAAATCACCGGAAAGTTTGCGGAACTACATCAATCGATCGAGTTGACCGTTGTGGTGACGTGTTGGGTGACGCATGCTTCGTCACTCTTCACTGTAAGGCAGTGTAAGCATTTAACCGTTCTCCGTCATTAATTTTGTCCACCGCATTGCTTTTGCTTATGTGGCTCGGTGGCTGTGCCACCAACTTGAGTCAAAAGGGGCAGTGGTAGCGCAGGACCCAACAACAATGGGGGGCGGTTGATATGTCTTGAGGGGGCGCGAGTTGAAGGTCGCAGGTTCATATGCTGTAGGCCGCAGGGTCACGGTGCTTCATGGGGTCTGTACGTCGGAGGATGGGGTGTCTGCAGAAGGGAAAGCTGGCATGGATGCGTAAGTGTGCTGGTATTAGAGGCGCGGGTCGGTCATCCACAAGGCGCTACGATGCCGGAATACACACCTTGGAAGGATGATGACGGCTCCTTAGGAGCGGAAAGTTGTGCTCCACAAGGTGAGTGAGAGATCGGGGCGGTGAAGTTGTTGGCTGTGTGCAGACACCGTGGAGCTGAGGACGTAGGTGCGTGAGAGATCGGGGCGGGGAAGTCGTTGGCTGTGTGCAGACACAGGGGAGCTCAGCATGACACAAGTGAGCGCGGGACGTTGCGGAAAGCATTTGTCAGCTTATGGGGCTGATGACGGCGGTTATGGGTCCGGATAATGACAGAGTTGTGGCTGCGCAGTCAGAGAAGGAAAGCAAATGGGAGGCTGACCTGTGTGTAAATGTAAATGATTGGGTTTACTGCCTGTGCTCTGAGCATTTCTGGCAGACTCTTTCCTCGACAGGTGACGTCTTTTTTCACTTAGCTGAAATGCTGATTTTTTTTATTTTTATTTTTTTGTGGATAAAACAGCCAGCTGAAATGCTGATTGACGCTGGCTGGCCTTTTTTTTGGGGGGGGGGGGGAATTGCCATGAGCTGCAGAGATACACAGGTGATTTGGAGGGTGATTGGTGCGAAGATGTCGTAGATACACAGCTCGTGCACTAGTGACGGCGGTGTGATGGTGATGGGGTGAGCATGGATGGGGTAAAATTTTACATGGCTCGAGGATGGCAGTGTT